GACCCTCCTCGTCACTTCAAACCTGGCGCTGCTCTGGTCAGTCACTACCCTGTTTCCCCGAAAATAAGACATCCTCCGAAAATAAGGCCTACTTACAGTTTTGCCTCTCGTTGTAATATAAGGCATCCCCCCGATAATAAGACCTCCCCGATAATAAGGCATCCACCGATGTGTACCGTATTCTTCTTCATTGAAATATAAGACATCCCCTGAAAATAAGACCTAGCGCATCTTTGGGAGCAAAAATTAATATAAGACACTGTCTTATTTTCGGGGAAACAGGGTACTGCCCTCACAGGGCACAGGCATCCCTCCTGAGAGCTGAATCACCTAAGTGTAAAGCCAGGTCTGTGGAGAGCTGGCACCATAGCTCTGACAGGTGTGAGCTGCCCCACTCATCTTAGTGCTAAAACAGATGCCAGTGATACTTTGAATATTAACTATTTCACTGCCCAACAAAGCATGAAAGCAAGAAATGGATCATATTGAAGCTCTAAGCAATCACTGAAACTTTTCCAAGCTGTCAGCTTGGAAGAGAATATTTCTCCATTGCAGAGTTAACTTGGGCATTTACTCAGGTGTTGCTCCTACCTGTTCACACACAAATCCCTGTCACTCTAGATTAGGGGTGCTTTAAACACAGGCTAACAGACAGTAGAAGATGAGTAATAAAAATGGGCTGAAGGGACCCCATAGCCATCACGGGGGAAAGACATGGTTGAGTGCAAGACAATAAGGATTCCCCACATGCTTATCAGGGATGTGTGGACTGGGCTCAGTCAGTAGGAAGGTGAGGGACACTGGCCTCAAGCAGACACCCTCCCCCAATCTCCCCAAAATGGGGAGGAAGGGATGTGAAGCAGCATGATTGGATGGAGGGGAGGGAAACAAGCAGGCATTAAAGAAGGGCCATATATGTTTTTCCACAGCAGAGCTCCTCTGGGATCTCACTTCACCCTGTCCAAGGCTTAGTAAATGTGACCATGACCCTAGACTGGAGGTCCCAGAAAGAGTGACTGGGTCCAGGAATAACCCTGCCAGACAGCCTGGGGAAAAAGCAAAGGCTTGGGAAAAGCAGCAGAGTCCTAAGACCTCCCTCAAACAGCCAGGAGAGGAGGGCCCTAGAGGCCACCTCCAAAGCTACCCTGCAGCTACAATAAAGCAGCCCCCATCCCTGCCCTAGAGCTGCTTAGCAGATCCTCACCCTCACATCTCCATCATGTCTTCTGCTGCAAGCTCCATGAGTGCAAAACAGACCAACACTCCACTCCAAGAACAACCCAGCCCCGCTGCCCTACCTTTATATGGTGCAGTGCAGCACCATCTGCAACATAATGAAACCTCCACTGGTTACAGCCATCCCAGCAGCCCCTGCAGGAAGAGGCCACCCCCCCTCAAGCCTCTGAGGAGCGTAAACAGTCCCTGGTAGGAAGTGCAGATGCAGGGAGATTGAGTGGTTATCGAGAACAGCCGACACGGATTGTGGCCTGGATCCCCACTTCACTCATGACTCCTCACAAAGACCCTGACTTGCCCCCCCATTTTGGGGGGGAAGGCAGGGAGACTCCCTCACATAGACCCTGAACTGGGCACCCCCTCATACAGACCCTGCCTTCAGCCCTCCTCACTCATTAGCAGAGGGAAGCAAAAACTCTCTCACACAGATGCTGCCCTGGGATCCCCTCACTCATTATGGCTGGAGGGGGAGGAAGGACTCCCTCACACAGCCCTTCCGCCAGTCCCTCTTGCTCTTTGAGAGGGAGGCTCCCTCACACAGACTCTGCCCCAGGTCCCCATTCCCACTCACTGGAGGTTAATTTCAAATTGACAACTGTCCTTTGTATCTGGAGGATGTCACTTTATGGAGGAGGGCATGAGCTGGGGCTCTCCTTGGCAGGAACACATACCAGGACTCCCAAGAGTTGAGCCAAGAGTAAAGCCATTTCTGTGGAGAGTTTGTAGCCATAACTTTGATAGGTCTGAGCTGCCCCAATCATCTCAGTGAGTGCTGACTCAGATGCCAGTGCTGGGGCTTTAAGGATTAACTATTTCACTGCTCATCAAACCACATAAGAAAGAAGATCAGGCCTAGACTAGACCTAAAACTTAGGTTGACCTAGTTGCATCACTCAGGGCTGTGAAAAAAATCTCACAGGGAAACTGGCCTCAACTGGTCCCCTCTCCTAAGACAGTGGGGGGGGGGGAGAAAAGGGGCATAAAGCAGCATGATTGGATGGGGTATAGGGAGAAATGGAGATAACTAAACATTAGGGAAGAACCTGGCCATACAGTTTGCCACAGCAGAGCTCCTCTAGCAGCTAATTTCACCCCTCCTAAAGTCCACCCCAAAACCTCAGACAGCAGGGCCCAGGGAGAACAAACAGCTCTAGTAAAACCTCCATCCACCCCCAACAGTCATGGTAAAAAGAAGGACCCCAGGGAAAGTAGCCAAGTCCAAGGACACCAATATATAGCCAGAGAAGGGGGGCAGGGACCAGCCCCAAAACTTCACTGCAGCTACAATCAAGTAACTCCCCAGGGCTGTTCAGCCAATCCTCACCCACACATCTCCTTCATAGCCTCCACTGCAAGCACTGCACATGTGAAACCAACCAACACTCTGCTCCAAAAGCAAGCTGCCGCTGGCCCCTGCCTGCCTCTATATAGTGCCACGCCTCTTTAAGTCACAGCTTTCCCAGTAGCCCCAGACGCCAAAGACTACCCCGCCCTTCCCTCAGCCTGCAGCCTATTGGGGAGTGTAAACAGTCTCTGATGGGAAATGCACATGGAGGGAGACTGACTCTTCACACAGACCCTGTCCTGTTTCCCCCTTCACTCCTCGGGGGGACATTCCCTCACAGAGACCCTGTCTTGGGCTTCCTCACTCTTTAGGGGGACCCTTCCTCATACAGACCCAGTCCTGAGCCCCTCTTGCTCATGGGAAGGAGACTCTGTCCCACAGATGCTGCTCCAGGTGCCCCTCACTCACTGGAATTTAACTTCAAATTGGTGACTCTCCTTTGTAGTTGGAGGATGTTGCTTTATGAAGGAAAGCATGAGCTGGGGCTCTCCTTGGCAGTAGTGTATACCAGCATCTCTCCCAAGAAACAAGGGTAAAGGCATGTCTGTGCAGAGTTTGCAGCCATGGCACTGACAAGTGTGATCTGCCCCATTCATCTCTGTGAGTGCTGACTCAGATGCCAATGATGGTGCTTTAAGTATTGACTATTTCACTGCCCATCAAAGCATGTAATAAAGAAGTAGATCATATTATGAAACTCTAAGCAATCTACCTGAGTGACAACTCTTTTTGGTGCCATCAACTTGGGAGAGAATGTCTTGGGGAGGGTATTACTCCATTGCAGAGTTAACTTGGGCTCTTACTCAGGAGTTGCTCCTAACCCCCTTGTGTCGACACACAAATCTCTCTCTCCAAAGTTGAGAGATGCTTTCAACTGAGGGTAACCGGCTTATCTGGAGCTAGAACAGAACCAGAGTCAGGCTTTTGCTGAGGCCTTGTCTTTAATGCTAAAAAGGTGTGTTTTTTAATCTCCAGGTAACAGGCTTGTGAGCTATTCCAAAGTAAAATCACAGTGAAACAAGGCACTTTAGTTTTACCACAAAGTAAACCAGGTGAGGTCTGCACAATACCCTTGCCTGGGGTTGACCTCACCTAGTTTACCTCATGTTAAAACTAAAGTGCCTTGTCTTCACAGTGGTTTTACCTCAGGATAGCTCATGCATGTTAGTTCCCTCAGTATAAAAACATACCTCTATTAGCAGTGAAGTAAAGGCCTTGAGCTGGTTACCAACCCCCTTTGCAGTAATAGTCCCACAATTCTGCCCAGAAAAGGACAGACAAGTTCTCCCACAATTTACCAGGGAAGAATCATAGAGCTGAAGCACAAAGAAGCACAGGATGTGTCCCCAGAAGTTATAGTGACACACAAGGGGGAGCACAGCACCAGTGAGGACACAGTAACTCAGTCAGGGCTTTGCAATGTGGCTGCTTACACCTGGATACTGATCACTTGGGCTAAGTTGGCAGTGAAGACAAACCCTAGGTGGTGGGATTGAAGAGGGTTGGGGTGTCTGACTCTCAGCCATGTTTCCTGTTTCTCCAGTAGCTACTGAGGTGGAAGAAAATTTGGGTGTCTGTTTCTGCTGTGTTCTCCCCTTCCCCATTAGATGCTGGGGCAGGAGGGGATCAGGGTATCTATCTATCTGCCCTGTTCCCCCTTTCCCTCATAGGTAGTGGGGCAGTGGGCATTGGGTCTCTGGCTTTCTGCCCTGTTCCCCCTTTCCCCTGTAGATAGCTCACACCTGGGCCAGGCTAACTCAGGTTAACACTGCAGTGAAGACACCCTTATTTTTTTCTGCAAAGAATCAAGTCCAAGCAGCCCAGATGCACTTTTGAGTCCCACTGTGGAGGGAAGGGGGGAGTTAACCTGAGGGAAGAAACAGAGCCCCTAGGACACACATGATCTTATTTAATATTTATATTGAAGTAGTGCCTAGAAGCTGACCTGGCTAGGACCCTGTTATGCTAGGTGCTGCACCGACATATAGAAAATGACAGTCCCTTTCCCAAAGAACTTAAGTCTGCACAATCTATTGTGAGTGACACCTTATTTTGATATCTCAAGTATGCAGTGCATATTGCCTTTGTGTTTTTCAATGAGATATTGAATCTCTCCCATTCACATTGTTCTCACAGTGGAAACTGTCAAGGTGTACACAAAAGATGCTCACACTCACTTTCATTGTACTTACTTGTCCTACTAACAGCTTTTGCTAATTAAAATTAATAATGTATATATGGTTTATTGTATTTCACTGAATGTATTTGGATGGGGAAACCAAACTGGTCATGATCATTTCTTGATTCTCTTGCACCAGTGTAATGCTGGGTTCACAACATGGCAGAACAATGTTATTATCATTTTGAAATTTTTCATTAAAATCTGTAAATATTTTATTTGTATTAAGTTGTTAGCCCTCTCAAGCATATACACCATAACTTTTATAATATCTTCGGAAAATTGTTGGTCTAAAAGAAGCCAATAGTATTAATTTTTAAAAAGCCATCTGTGTGCAAACATGTAATATACTCTTGAGTTTCCTTT